ACATATGTTTCATATGTTTGTTGTTGTTTGATTTATCATCTACGGGTTTATGTCGAATTAATTTGATGGCCTGCTCCCAGTTGGCTTGTTAGCTCAATTGGTAGAGCGCTGCACTAGTATCGCAGAGGTCAGTGGTTCGAGTCCCGTACAGGCCTGATTTTTTTCAGGTCTGAATTTCGCTATTGCTCAAATAGCGCTATCTACTGCGAGGATCGTCCATCATACGTAAAGGTGGTTTCATTCTAGCGTCAGTCTATAATTTACTGCTGTTTTGATGAAAGCAAAAATCTACATGAATTTTCCCTCAAATTATTTGTATTCGTCATATTTCCCTTGGTATGTCTCAGGTATTGAGTATTGATCACTCCTGGGATAAGTAAACAAACTATCAATCGTATCATTTCGTCATTTATCTTTTAGAACTTTACATTCCTCAACTGATTCACTTATTTATTGAATGATGCATCTATTCACCCCTATAATTAGCTACATATAGTAGATACATTGATTCATTTTCCTTTATTATATCTTTTTTGTCTGTTGGAATCATAAGTTCAAGGCTAAACGTTTTGTTCCTTCAAGAGATCAGTAAGACATCAATCATTAGAAGTTAAAATCATTTTGACCGATATTTTTTGGGTAATTTTTTTAACAGATAGTGTACTGATTAAAATCACCAATAGATTAAGGAGTCAACATTTAAATCCGAAAGTAATTATAAAAAGTGTTGATTATTATAAATAAATCTTTTTGGTTGATCCATAGACCCTTTTAAGTTCATGCGTATGAAGTGCATCTTGAGGAAAAAACAATAAGAAGAGGTAACTGTTTAGTTATTTATTTACTTTACTTCTTACAAGCTTAAGGCTTCGTTGGACCACATCTTTTCTGGACATAAACCATTACTCTGCCAATTTTAACTTCAATCGACGGTCCCGCAAAAGTTGTTTACTAGAATCGGGATTGAGTTTTTAAAGTAATGATTTGAGAAAAGGGGTTTAGTCTTTCTGAGCTCTGAGTGAGGAATAATTTATTTCTAGTATGGTCGTGTTAATTACAATGAATTTAAATGTTACATTAAAGATTCTTTGTTCTGTGAACTGTTTACTTGACGTACAGCCTTCCTCTACGGTTTATATATATCCCACGACTGTCATGGTCTGGTATCTCATGGCATGGGTAGCCATATAGTGCCCGTTCGTCAGCTGTTAGGGATGAAATGAATAACGATCAAGTAAGACCTTTGCTAAGCAACACAGCTGTCTCAAGTCTGACCTTTGATTCCTTACGTCTTCAAATGATATCAGTTAACCATTGAATACTTAAAAACAATAACTGAATGGAGCTCTCCCTACACAATCAGAATGAGCGATACATTAACATCTTCCAAAGGAAGGCAATGGCATTGCTTTATTTTACAGGGGTGCCGCGAAAAATTTACGGTCATCATATCATACAAAACAATGGAAATGGTGGAGAAGAGTTATTAGCAATGTACATAGGCTTTTTCCCATAATTTAAGTTTTTAATTAAGTGCCCTGCGATTCGCTTTGGGTGGGTAAGAATCCCATTGTATTTCATAAAATCTCTTAGCTTCCTTTCCTTCCCATCCTAGCCCTGTGCTATGTCGATCGTTTTAACGCTAAATTAAAACAAAATAAAAACAAAAACAAAAACAAAAAAATTTAAAAAATTAAGCAAATTGAGAAATGAAAAAACTCATCAAAGAGACCAAAGCCAACTCAGTCAGTACTGAAAAACCCGGACTGGTTTCTTCTTACTCAATTTAATGTCTTGTTTAGTTTTTGTTTTTGTTTTGTTTTCTTTTTTTAGAAAAGAAGTCGAAGGAGCCAAAAAAGCACCCTTAAAAGAATATACATCATCACTTGCTTTCAATTAGTTTTGGAGATTAGTACTCACCGTACTTGGACGAGAACCATTCGCTATTATTGCACTCAAGGTTATCGTGTCCATCAAAAACTAAAAGGGAAAAAAAAGATAAAATAGCAGGATAAGTGTAAATTGGCGCAAAAGAAACTTGCACATCCTTCCAGCAATTCAGAATCAAACTTAAAAGCAGTTGCTACTTCCTCTCGCGCTTGTCACGCTTTTTTGGCTTTTAGTTTGGCTGTTCTTAAAGCCCTACAAGACGCCCTTCGTCCCTGCGAATACCTGCAAGACTGAATAATAGGATACCCCAAAAGGATTCTCCGCTCTGGGCTATCGTCTGTTCCACCGGGATGAAAGATGCGGTTTTATTCGGAAATTATTATGTAAATACAAGATCGGCAAACCTCTACAAGTCTAACCGGTTTTTCCCTTTTTAAATGTTTTTAATGAATGTTCACTCACCACTGTTACATCCGAGAGAAATGCGATATCCCGCGGCAGTGCTTGTGCAGTTGTTAGTCTCCCAATGATAGGGATGGGAATGTGATATGATAATTCGTGGACAACTGAAATCAAAGAAGAAAATGTTTTTCAGATTCACCTAATCCTTCTGGGTCCTAAGCTGAGAAACAAATTCAGACTATTGAGCCATGTTATCCTGAGAAAGTCGTCAGAATCCAACACAGATTGTGGTTTCAGATTTACTTGCTACATGACTGAACGCTGACATTGATAACATCATGATCACTTTATCGCAAGTTAAGATGGGCAACATGCACGTGYTGTCAAGATCTCTTATCAATGGACCTAATGAATCAAGATTTGGCCATATCGGGTGACCAACTCTGTGTGCTGCGGGCGCCAAACTGATTCTGTTGAAGTCATCACGTTCTCTTATTTTAGTAAACAACTAAAAGCTTCGTTAAAGTGGCTTCCTCTGTACTCTAGGATTGTCCATTAGGGTTGCTGCTTGAAATACGGCAGCCAAGTTAAACGAGCACAAAATAACTAAGTAACTTACTTTCCCCGGCGGCATGCTGAGTTGAATTTGTTTGGTCCACTGGGTATCTTAAAAAGAAAAAGAAAGGAAGACTGTGTTATGGTACATGCATGACGATTTTATTAATTATTTATTAAACAGTGGAGTTTTACAAGAACTTCAAGAAAAGAAAAGAAAAGGGGAAAAAGAGAAAAGCCGAGAAAAGCCAAAGGAGAAAAGCCGTAGGAGCGCAATTGTAAAATTAAAATGATTTTTGACTGAGTTTGATATGGCCAATCAGCTAATTACACGTCATTTGCCTTCGCGCCAATCTGTCAAGTTGCTGAATGGCTTTAGCATGTTTAAGCTAATGTTGTTTTCCAAATTTTTTTCCGATTTTGGCTGCTAACAACACTGACAAGTTCGTATCACTCACTTACAATTACGTTCAGGATTTTCTAAATGCGGAAAAATACAAAAAAAGCAAAAAAAATAAGCAAAAAAAACAAAAAGTTACTTGGCTTTGGCAATGGCATTTCTCGCGGCTAAGAACGAAAACGACAACTGGAAGATTTGCAACCGCCCGATTTGGACGTGTGCCTGGGCTGATTTCTTCCGACAGTACGGAGAAAGTCGATGACTGAAAATGTTGTGAGTTGAAAGCCAAGCCCGTAGTTTGATTTCGCAACGATTCAAAACATTTTTTTTATCTTGAACCTCATTGCACAATGTAATACATGGATGCTTGTAGGTACGATATGTCTACAGTTTTTACTTGCTATCTCATTCGTTCGTTACGCTCTGTCACAAGCTATCAAGTTCAACACTCAAAGAGAAATTCCATTCCTACGCGCACCCATTATCCTTTAGCCATTATCCTGTATTATCCTTTAGCTGTTACCGTTATGTTTAAACGTAAAGTATTATATGAAGCTCCATTTGGGAGGCAAATGGAGGTCCACATAGTCACTGGATGCCGGTTATGGATGAGCACCATGGCTGGGCCTAAAACATCCTCTGAGTGGCGCAGACCTCGAGTCCTACTCCAACCTCCTCGTGGTGCCCCCTGGATTTCGAACTAAAAGGAGAGGACGACTGCGGGTGCGTGGCGCAGTATAACCACGCCTGCTCCGGGCAGGTGGGGCTCGTCAGCCATGGAAGGGTGCTCAGCAAGGAGAAGGGAACTCCGATAATAAACCCACGGGCAGGTGGGGCTCAATAGCCTTGGTCGGCAACCCACCTAGGAGACGGAATCTCCGAAGAAAAACCTACGGTCCGAGGACCTCGCTGTCATCTTCCCAGCTTGTTAGGTCATGGCAGATGAACCTCGTGCTTAAAGGGTGGGGCCAGTCTGCGCACACTGTACCTCACCAAAAAATCCTTAGCGCAGGCCAAAGGACACGTCCACGTTCTGCGTCCAACCATTCCAAGCCTTGTAGCGATGGGAAAGGGGCGAAAGTGGCAGGTGGAAGACGTCTCTGGAAGCCATAGTCCCGATCCTGCATGCAATCGGCTTAGGACAGATGGTCGACTGGTTGTCGACCAGCATCCTGAGCGACCAGGCAGCCCTATTTTGGGAGAGCACTACTTGCTCCACATGGAGAGGGGTGATAGAAAAGGTTTAAAAATGGAAAAAGTGTAGCCAGGAGATGCCATGAGTTTTATAGAAATTGGTTGCCTCTGACTGTTGTTATTTTTGAAACAGACGTTTCGGCTTATGCTTAAGCCTGTATCAGTGATATAAAAAAAACCAAGATCGTCATCATACGCTATTTAAAGTTAAAAACGTGACGCGAAGCTTGCGCGCGTAACTATGTATTTGATGCTCGCGCGAGGTCTTGATAGGCTTCTGGAAGTACGATGTTATCGTTTCCCGCATTCGGATCATAAGTAGAGTGCTAGGCTTCAAGGAAAAGTCTCTCGTGGTATTTAGTTTCGAAACTAACGACCCTGACGTTTGTGAAATCCATGTTATGGTCGGAAAGGTGGACATGGCTTGCGAGTTTGGAGTTTAGGTCGAAACCTGCAACTGCCTTTTTGTGCTCCGCATTTCTGGTCTTTAATGATCTTTCTGTTTGGCCATAGTACTTAAAAATACACTGTGTGCAATTGATTTTGTACACCATGCCTGACTTCTGGCAATCAGGTTCGTCTAGCTCCTTGGGGCGTGGAAAAAGGCTGTTGATTGTTTGTTGTGGTTTGTAGGCTACTTTGACCTTTTGTTGTTTCGATATGCGACTTATTTTCACGGAAACACCCTGTACATACGGCAGCACTACAAAGCCATTGAAGTTGGTCTGGGTGGGTTGTTTAAATAACACTCTCTCACAAAACCCACAATTCCTCTATTCGCTCAGACGAAGGGCTAACGCTCGAAACGTCAGCTTTTATAATCGTAGCAGCTTTGTTGATATATTCAAATTGTTTCGTTATCCCCACCGACGCAGCCCCAAACAGTTTCTTTAGAAACTATCAGCCTTTATTAATTACTGTGGACTTGGATGTTGACGAAGGGGTGTACATCAGGTACCGTCTGGATAGTAGTCTCTTCAATCTACGGCGACTCCGTGCTCAGAAAAAGACCCAGGAGAGGCTGAGACAAGATCTTATCTTAGCGGACGACGCTGCCCTTGTTGCTTACACTGAGCGACCTCTTCAGCGCATTACATCATGCTTTGCAGATGGCCCGCAGCTGTTTGGC